AAGCAATTTCAAGCATTTTACCTCAATAATTCGAAAGTTCCTTAGCTATGTCAAAAATTCATTTTCTTTTCAAAAATTAACAATCAAATACTAGATCAACACATGTAAGGCACTAATTAAGCCAAATAAGCCATTTAAAACATTTTTCCCCAAAATTCGAAAATTTCATGGCTAGGCCAAAACTTCATTTTCTTTTCAAAAATCAACAATCAAACACTAGATCAATACATGCAAGGCACTAATTAAGCCAAATAAGCCATTTAAAACATTTTTCCCCATTTTTCGAAAAATCATAGAACTTCAAGAACAAAGTCATCTTTTCAAAATACTAACATGCAATCATCATCTAAAACATATAATTACATAATAAACAATAAAAACGCATAGAAACACATAAAAACACATAGAAACACATAAAAACACATAAAAACCGAAAATACTAGTGGTGTTGTAGGTTTGAGCAAGAATTCAAGAATTCTCACCTATACTCTTTAGGGGAAGGATTTGTTAGCTCTTTTCTCTCTAATACAAGAAGAGATTAAGAGTTAGATTATGCATTAATAAAATAAAAAGAAAAACAAAAGAAAGAGGAGGAGGAAGAGCTTAGCTCTTTCGGGAAAAGAAGAAGGAAGAAGGGGGAGGAGAAGCTTACTCCTAAGCTTGGCCGAAAATTCTCCTCTTGTTGAAATAGAAGGAGACCTTAAACTTATAGATAGTGAGATTGGAAGTGGAGAGTGTATTTTGATCTTGGGCATTGGATGTATTTATAGAGTTTTTGGAGAGTTCAAAGCCAATGGAGAAGAAAGGGAAATACATCTTTTGTGGGGGTGATTTTGCAATTTCCGAAAATATGAGGTGGTGGTGGTTCTAGGGTGGTTCAAGCTTGAGAAGGTGGTGGCTATGGTGGTGGTGGTGGCTGCCGAAAAATGAAGGGGAAGGGAGGAGAAGAAGAAGACCTTTGGTCTTACTTAAAGGAGTGAAAAGCATGCCTAGACTATAGAGTAGGGGCTAGCTTTTAGGTATTTCTTTCTATGCTCAAAGTACAACCACACCAATGCATGTCTAATACTAATTAATATGCAATTTAAAAATCATGTGTGTGTGTGTGTGTGTGTGTGTGTGTGTCATGTCCGAAAATTCAAGAAAATGTGGGGAGAATTTTCTAATTTTCGACATTAATTAAAAATCCTAAAATGCATGATAAAAATTCATTTTCTAAAATTTTGTGCATGCATAAATATGATGAAATGCTCATTTAAAATCACATGCAAGAATAAAATCCTAATTCATGAAATTAATTTATTTGGAAATAATATCTCGAAATATTTCCTAAGCACATAATTCACATAATCACATAATTCACATAATCACATATTTCACATAATCACATAATGCACACAATAATTCACATAATCACATAATGCACACAATAATTCACATAATCACATATTTCACATGATTCACATAATTACCTAATTCACCTAAATACTAACCATGCAAGAATTATTATAAATTCTAATTTCGCAATTATGCACATAAAGGTGGTAAAATAAAATAATATTATTTTACCGAAAATGCGGGGTGTTACAATCTTCCCCCCTTAAAAAAATTTTGTCCCCAAAATTTGTACCTTTTTCAATTAGTTCCGGATAACGACTCACAATCTCATCCTCAAGTTCCCACGTTGACTCATCCGGAGAATGGTTTTTCCAAAGGATTTTGGCTAGGCGAATTTCTTTGTTTCGGAGTTTCCTAACTTTTCGGTCTAATATTTGGGAGGGTTCTTCGGTAAAGGATAGGTTCGGGGATAAATCAAGGGGTTCGGTTTCAAGGATGTGGTTAGGGTTGGGAATATATTTTCGGAGCATGGAGACCTGAAAGACATTGTGGACCTTGGATAGTTGAGGCGGTAGGGCGAGGCGATAGGCTTGGCCACCAATTCGGTCGAGTATTTCGAAGGGTCCAATGAATCGAGGGCTTAACTTTCCTCGTTTTCCGAATCGCATGATTCCTTTGAGTGGGGCGACTTTCAAGAATACGTGATCACCGGCTTGGAATTCCAATTCTCGTCTTCTTTTATTTGCGTATTTTTGTTGGCGATCTTGGGCGGTTCTCATTTTCTCTCGAATATTCTTGATTATGTCGACGGTGTGTTGGACTAGCTCGGGTCCTAATAATCTTCGCTCACCTACTTCGTCCCAATGGATTGGAGAATGACATTTTCTTCCGTACAAGGCTTCGTAAGGTGCCATTCCGATCGAAGATTGGAAGCTATTGTTGTACGAGAATTCGATGAGCGGTAGACGACTTTCCCAATTACCACAAAAATCCATTATACATGCTCGAAGCATGTCTTCGAGGGTCTTGATTGTCCTTTCCGATTGTCCGTCGGTTTGGGGATGGTACACCGTGCTAAAGGATAGACGGGTTCCCATCGCTTCGTGCAATCTTTTCCAAAATTTGGAAGTGAATCGGGGATCTCGGTCGGAGATGATTGATATCGGAACGCCATGGAGTCGGACGATTTCTCCGATATAGAGGTCGGCTAGCTTTTCGAGACTAAAAGTGGTCTTGACCGGTAAGAAATGTGCGGACTTGGTTAGGCGATCGACTATCACCCATATTGAATCAGATCCTTTAAGAGTCTTCGGGAAACCTTGAACAAAGTCCATCGTTACTCTTTCCCATTTCCATTCAGGAATAAGGTTGGATTGTAGAAGTCCACCGGGCCTTTGGAGTTCTGTTTTGATTTGTTGACAAATTAGGCATTCGGATACGTATTTGGCTATATCCTTCTTCATGCCTGGCCACCAGTACAACTTCTTCAAGTCTTGATACATTTTGGTTTCACCCGGATGGCAAGAGTAGGTCGTTTTGTGGGCTTCGTCGAGAATTAATCCTTTGATCTCTTTGTTTGCCGGAATGCAAATTCTCCCTTGAAATTTCAAGATTTTGCCGTCGGTCATTGAGAAGTTTGGATTTTGACCGGTTGCTAAGCCTTCTCGGATTTTGACAAGTTGATCATCATGGTCTTGAGCGGACTTGATAGTTGATTCGAGCGGCGGTTTAATGATCAAGGCGGACATGGATTTTCGGCTAAGAGCGTCGGCGACAACGTTGGCTTTACCGGGATGGTAAAGGATTTCGCAATCATAGTCCTTGACTAATTCAAGCCATCTTCTTTGCCTCATGTTGAGCTCTTTTTGAGTAAAGAAGTACTTGAGACTTTTTTGGTCGGTGAAGATCGAACATTTTTCGCCGTAAAGGTAATGTCTCCAAATTTTGAGGGCGAACACGACTGCCGCGAGTTCCAAGTCGTGCGTCGGGTAATTCCTCTCGTAGTCTTTTAATTGTCTAGAGGCATAGGCAATTACATTCCCGTTTTGCATTAGGACGGCTCCGAGCCCGTGCTTGGAGGCGTCACTATAGACTACATAGTTTCCGGTTTTATCCGGTAGAGCGAGGATTGGTGCCGAGGTTAATCGCTTCTTGAGTTCTTGGAAACTAGACTCGCATTCGGAAGTCCATTGATACTTGACTTCCTTTCGGGTCAAACGAGAGAGTGGAGCGGCTATCTTGGAAAAGTTCGGAACGAACCGTCGGTAGTAGCCTGCGAGGCCGAGGAAACTTCGGATTTCTCCGACATTATGAGGGATTGACCAATTACAAACGGCTTCAATTTTGCTTGGATAAACGGCTATGCCTTCCTTGGAAATTACGTGACCAAGAAAGTGGACTTGTCTTAACCAAAACTCACATTTGGAAAACTTCGCATAGAGTTGGTTCTCTCGGAGGGCTTGGAGCACCATTTCCAAATGATTCCGATGTTCTTCATCATTTCTTGAATACACCAAGATATCGTCGATGAATACGATCACAAATTGATCGAGATATTTGCGGAAGATTCGATTCATGAGATCCATGAAAGCGGCGGGGGCGTTGGTTAGACAAAACGACATCACTACAAATTCGTAATGGCCGTAACGAGTCCGAAACGCGGTTTTCGGAATATCTTCCTTCTTGATCTTCAATTGATGATATCCGGAACGGAGGTCGATTTTGGAATAGACCGTGGAGCCTTGAAGTTGATCAAAAAGGTCGTCAATTCGTGGCAATGGATACTTGTTCTTGACGGTGACCTTGTTGAGTTCTCGGTAATCAATACACATTCGGAGGGTTCCATCTTTCTTTTTCACGAAGAGTACCGGAGCACCCCATGGGGAAAAACTAGGGCGGATGAACTTCTTGTTGATAAGATCTTGAATTTGGACCTTGAGTTCCTTTAGCTCTAATGGTGCCATGCGGTAAGGTGCCTTCGAGATAGGAGCGGAACCGGGGATCAAATTAATTTCAAATTCGATTTCACGATCGGGCGGAAGACCGGGGAGATCTTCGGGAAAGACATCGGGAAAATCGCAAACGGTTGGCACTTTGGAAATGTCGGCTTTATCTTCGTTGAGAGCTTCCACTATGTCGACCAAATGACATAGATGCCCTTTTTGAATAAGTTTGCTCGCTTTGATGGCGGAAATGATAGGAATCGACGGATTGTACGAGCTTCGGAATTCGAGAAAACTTCCATTCGGTAGGGAGAAACGAACGGTTTTGTGAGCGCAATTGATTTGGGCGTCGAATTTTGATAACCAATCCATTCCGAGGATTATTTCGAAATGTTTAATGGGTAGGATGATCAGATCGGAGGCTAGGGTTTGGTTATGAATCTGAATAGGGCAATCTTTGATGATGAAATTTGATTTAAGTTCATCACCGGAAGGAATAAGTATGCTAAACAAGGCATCGACTTGACTACGGACTAGGCGGAGTTCGGCAACGAGGGTACTTGAGATGAATGAGTGAGATGATCCGGAGTCGATGAGGGCATACACGGAATTATTATACACACTAACGGTACCTGCGATCATTGACGGGTCAGCTTCGGCTTGGTCTCTTGTCATGGCGAATACTCGTCCCGGCACTTGTCTCGGGGCGATAGGGCAGTCTCAGACCATATGTCCGGGCTTCTTGCATCGAAAACAATGGTCGGTTCCGGCAACACAATCGCCTGAATGTTCTCGCTTGCATTTAGGGCAAAAGGGCTTGTTGCTCGGGGTCACGGTTGCTCGGTTGATCGGTTGCTTTCCCTTGGAGTTGTTGAGGTTCGGTTTCTTCCATGGTCGAGAAGAGGCATCGTGAGGAGGTCTCCATTGTCGGATTTCCATCTCGTCTTGTTCGGCTTCTAAGGCTTTGCCCACTACTCCGCGGAAAGTAGAGGCAGAGGTTAGTCGAACGTCAAGTTTGATTATCGGGTTGAGGCCTCTTAGGTAGTGATTCATCTTTTCGGTGTCGTCTTTGGATATGAAAGGTGCGTAGAGGCTTCCTTGCTCGAAACGGCGTGTGAATTCGGCAACGGTTAGGTTTCCTTGTTTGAGTTCGAGAAACTCCTTAAGCTTTTGCGCTCGGACATTCTTGGAAAAGTACTTTTCGAAGAAAAGAACTTTGAAAGCTTCCCAAGTGGTATTTCCTAGATCGATTCCACTCTTTGCGCCTTCCCACCAATTTCGGGCTTCGTTTTTCAACAAGAATAGTGCGCAATGGATTCGGTCACTGTCGTTCATCACCATGTACTCGAAAATAACCTCGAGGGATTTGATCCATTCTTCGGCAACAGTTGGACTTGGGCCGCCGTGGAATTCGGTAGGATGCATTTTCAAGAATCGCTCGTAGGTGGCTTGTGGGGCTGTATTTCTAGGTTGGGGAGGAGGAGGAGGAGGTGGAGGAGGGTTTTAGTTTTGAAGGTTAACAAGGCGGTTGATTTGTTCATTCTGTTCTCGGACGAGGGCGGTGAGGTCTTGGATGGTACGAGATTGATTGTGAGGATCGTTAGCGGCATTTTGAGCTCGAGTTCTTGCTCCAGACATTTTAATACTTAAACATATACAAACAATTCACATTAGCCATAAAATTCACATAAAACACATAAAACATATACCTGCCCAAGTGTTCAGTTGGAGTTGTGCTTGAGAATCGTGAAGATCTTTAGGTCGTATGGAGGTTTCCGGGAACGTTGCTCTGATACCACGTCTGCTGTGACACCCCTCTCTCGATTACCCTTATTATATGTAATCTCAGCGGAAGACTTTTGAAAACATGATTTTTGTGGATATAAATTTGCGTGAAAATTTTTCTTTTTGAATTAGAGGGAGAGAGGGCACAGCTTGCTAAACCCTAATCTATCAATTAACACCAATGCATGCTACATGCAAGACTAGGAAACAACTAGGCATGATGGACTTAATGCAAATGCGGACAGATTCAATGCAGAAGCTTTAAAAATTAATTACTCTTAAACTACTCATGCAAATGACCCCAAAATAATACCATACCATCTAACATGGGTCTAGATTACTCAGTTAAAACAGTTTTGAAATATCCATGGCCATTTAGGAGAAATAAATAAAATGGCACAGTCACTCGATTTAAAATCCAGAACAGGGGAGGGAGTTTTGAAAATTCACAATAAATTCCTCACTGACCCAAAAACTACCAACTTTTACCCCAAGGCAGAAAAATAAGTGTAAAACATTTTCCAAGTGGAAACAAGTCATTTGGGTGAGTAAAACTCCAGTTAGACCAGAAAACACCCGAATGGCCCTGTTTCAATGCAGTAGTGAGAAATAAATCATAACTAAATGAATACTTACCCAAATCATGCACAAGACCTATCAAAATGATGAACACAGAGAGATGCAAAGACTCCTAAAATTTCATGATTTTATAAGCAGAGCACCTATATAAAAATAATTTTAGAACATGGAGACAAAACACGAAGAAATTACTAGTCGAAAGCATGCATGCATTTAAATAGTGAAAATTTGCTTTCGCTTACAAAAGACTACGGATTACCGATTAATTATCCAAAATAGGGTAATCCTAATTACTATTACACACGTTGTCTTTTAATAATTTCCACCGATCGGAGGAAGCGAACGGTAGAAAATACCTAAAACCGTATCAAAAGTTTTTACAAGCACATTATACAAATAAAACCACATGACTAAGTTGAGAGCCAACACTATCCACAACCCTTCCATACGATCCCCTTCCGATTCTCGAGCTCGATTCCCAACTTCACTCCTCGGGCCCTAAATCGGGTATACCTACAAACATACAACACCTATATGAGTCTTTGAGGACTCAATGAGAATCTTGAAGTAATATCGAATACACATAGCACATAGAGCATACATATATCTTATACATGAACATGCAACATCAAGTAAAACAATCATATACTTCCCTTTTTCGTCGGCGTTCTTCTTTCACATAATTGCCACACGCATAGAGTGAGATAATTCCCACCTTTATAACCCTATGATCCCAAGACCATAGAGTGAGAATATCCCACCTTTATAACCCTATGCCATGACATGTATTGAAGATTATAGAAGGAATTTCCCACCTTTATAACCCTACGATCCCAAGACCATAGAGTGAGATTTTCCCCCTATATCATCAACACCATAATGCAACATGCATGACATGAAAAATTGTCGGGAATCCCTCGGAAGAGCCAATCTAAGTTACCGGTAAATAACCCCATATATTTCGAACCATGTCTAACTACGTGGGATCAAACCACCCCTAGGCCCTACGGTACCAGGCTCGCCGTACCCGAGAAATTTACGGTAACCTCGAAAGACTTTCCAACATAGTTTTATCTTTTTAAAAATTCATGACACTTAATGAACCCACCCATGCACCCTTCTACTTACCCTTCTCTCATCCTCTCACCCAATGATTCACATAAGCAAGCAAGAGCACATAGGAGCACATAGAAAATACACATAAAGTTTCACAAAATCATTTAGTCATAAAAACATAGAAATAACCGAAATCTTAACATGCAAAAACAATCTAACATCAAAGTTCACTAGATCTAGCATTTTTACAAGAATAAAATTCAAGACTTCCATCTTTACATTTATTCAAGCAAATACACTAGATCTTCACATGCAAGAGTATTTTAAACCAAATTATCACAAATTCTTAGTTCTTAAACCATTTTTCATAGAAAACACTAGATCTTAACATGCAAGACTTTAGATCAACAATCAATCACCAATCTTAACATGCAAGGCCTTAAAACAACAATCAACACAAGATCAACACATGCAAAACACAAAATAAACCACATAAGCAATTTCAAGCATTTTACCTCAAAAATTCGAAAGTTCCTTAGCTATGTCAAAAATTCATTTTCTTTTCAAAAATCAACAATCAAATACTAGATCAACACATGCAAGGCACTAATTAAGCCAAATAAGCCATTTAAAACATTTTTCCCCAAAATTCGAAAATTTCATGGCTAGGCCAAAACTTCATTTTCTTTTCAAAAATCAACAATCAAACACTAGATCAATACATGCAAGGCACTAATTAAGCCAAATAAGCCATTTAAAACATTTTTCCCCAATTTTCGAAAAATCATAGAACTTCAAGAACAAAGTCATCTTTTCAAAATACTAACATGCAATCATCATCTAAAACATATAATCACATAATAAACAATAAAAACACATAGAAACACATAAAAACACATAAAAACCGAAAATACTAGTGGTGTTGTAGGTTTGAGCAAGAATTCAAGAATTCTCACCTATACTCTTTAGGGGAAGGATTTGTTAGCTCTTTTCTCTCTAATACAAGAAGAGATTAAGAGTTAGATTAGGCATTAAGAAAATAAAAAGAAAAACAAAAGAAAGAGGAGGAGGAAGAGCTTAGCTCTTTCGGGAAAAGAAGAAGGAAGAAGGGGGAGGAGAAGCTTACTCCTAAGCTTGGCCGAAAATTCTCCTCTTGTTGAAATAGAAGGAGACCTTAAACTTATAGATAGTGAGATTGGAAGTGGAGAGTGTATTTTGATCTTGGGCATTGGATGTATTTATAGAGTTTTTGGAGAGTTCAAAGCCAATGGAGAAGAAAGGGAAATACATCTTTTGTGGGGGTGATTTTGCAATTTCCGAAAATATGAGGTGGTGGTGGTTCTAGGGTGGTTCAAGCTTGAGAAGGTGGTGGCTATGGTGGTGGTGGTGGCTGCCGAAAAATGAAGGGGAAGGGAGGAGAAGAAGAAGACCTTTGGTCTTACTTAAAGGAGTGAAAAGCATGCCTAGACTATAGAGTAGGGGCTAGCTTTTAGGTATTTCTTTCTATGCTCAAAGTACAACCACACCAATGCATGTCTAATACTAATTAATATGCAATTTAAAAATCATGTGTGTGTGTGTGTGTGTGTGTGTGTGTCATGTCCGAAAATTCAAGAAAATGTGGGGAGAATTTTCTAATTTTCGACATTAATTAAAAATCCTAAAATGCATGATAAAAATTCATTTTCTAAAATTTTGTGCATGCATAAATATGATGAAATGCTCATTTAAAATCACATGCAAGAATAAAATCCTAATTCATGAAATTAATTTATTTCGAAATAATATCTCGAAATATTTCCTAAGCACATAATTCACATAATCACATAATTCACATAATCACATATTTCACATAATCACATAATGCACACAATAATTCACATAATCACATAATGCACACAATAATTCACATAATCACATATTTCACATGATTCACATAATTACCTAATTCACCTAAATACTAACCATGCAAGAATTATTATAAATTCTAATTTCGCAATTATGCACATAAAGGTGGTAAAATAAAATAATATTATTTTACCGAAAATGCGGGGTGTTACAATCTTCCCCCCTTAAAAAAATTTTGTCCCCAAAATTTGTACCTTTTTCAATTAGTTCCGGATAACGACTCACAATCTCATCCTCAAGTTCCCACGTTGACTCATCCGGAGAATGGTTTTTCCAAAGGATTTTGGCTAGGCGAATTTCTTTGTTTCGGAGTTTCCTAACTTTTCGGTCTAATATTTGGGAGGGTTCTTCGGTAAAGGATAGGTTCGGGGATAAATCAAGGGGTTCGGTTTCAAGGATGTGGTTAGGGTTGGGAATATATTTTCGGAGCATGGAGACCTGAAAGACATTGTGGACCTTGGATAGTTGAGGCGGTAGGGCGAGGCGATAGGCTTGGCCACCAATTCGGTCGAGTATTTCGAAGGGTCCAATGAATCGAGGGCTTAACTTTCCTCGTTTTCCGAATCGCATGATTCCTTTGAGTGGGGCGACTTTCAAGAATACGTGATCACCGGCTTGGAATTCCAATTCTCGTCTTCTTTTATTTGCGTATTTTTGTTGGCGATCTTGGGCGGTTCTCATTTTCTCTCGAATATTCTTGATTATGTCGACGGTGTGTTGGACTAGCTCGGGTCCTAATAATCTTCGCTCACCTACTTCGTCCCAATGGATTGGAGAATGACATTTTCTTCCGTACAAGGCTTCGTAAGGTGCCATTCCGATCGAAGATTGGAAGCTATTGTTGTACGAGAATTCGATGAGCGGTAGACGGCTTTCCCAATTACCACCAAAATCCATTATACATGCTCGAAGCATGTCTTCGAGGGTCTTGATTGTCCTTTCCGATTGTCCGTCGGTTTGGGGATGGTACGCCGTGCTAAAGGATAGACGGGTTCCCATCGCTTCGTGCAATCTTTTCCAAAATTTGGAAGTGAATCGGGGATCTCGGTCGGAGATGATTGATATCGGAACGCCATGGAGTCGGACGATTTCTCCGATATAGAGTTCGGCTAGCTTTTCGAGACTAAAAGTGGTCTTGACCGGTAAGAAATGTGCGGACTTGGTTAGGCGATCGACTATCACCCATATTGAATCAGATCCTTTAAGAGTTTTCGGGAAACCTTGAACAAAGTCCATCGTTACGCTTTCCCATTTCCATTCGGGAATATGGTTGGATTGTAGAAGTCCACCGGGCCTTTGGTGTTCCGTTTTGATTTGTTGACAAATTAGGCATTCGGATACGTATTTGGCTATATCCTTCTTCATGCCTGGCCACCAGTACAACTTCTTCAAGTCTTGATACATTTTGGTTTCACCCGGATGGCAAGAGTAGGGCGTTTTGTGGGCTTCGTCGAGAATTAATCCTTTGATCTCTTTGTTTGCCGGAATGCAAATTCTCCCTTGAAATTTCAAGATTTTGCCGTCGGTCATTGAGAAGTTTGGATTTTGACCGGTTGCTAAGCCTTCTCGGATTTTGACAAGTTGATCATCATGGTCTTGAGCGGACTTGATAGTTGATTCGAGCGGCGGTTTAATGATCAAGGCGGACATGGATTTTCGGCTAAGAGCGTCGGCGACAACGTTGGCTTTACTGGGATGGTAAAGGATTTCGCAATCATAGTCCTTGACTAATTCAAGCCATCTTCTTTGCCTCATGTTGAGCTCTTTTTGAGTAAAGAAGTACTTGAGACTTTTGTGGTCGGTGAAGATCGAACATTTTTCGCCGTAAAGGTAATGTCTCCAAATTTTGAGGGCGAACACGACTGCCGCGAGTTCCAAGTCGTGCGTCGGGTAATTCCTCTCGTAGTCTTTTAATTGTCTAGAGGCATAGGCAATTACATTCCCGTTTTGCATTAGGACGGCTCCGAGCCCGTGCTTGGAGGCATCACTATAGACTACATAGTTTCCGGTTTTATCCGGTAGAGCGAGGATTGGTGCCGAGGTTAGTCGCTTCTTGAGTTCTTGGAAACTAGACTCGCATTCGGAAGTCCATTGATACTTGACTTCCTTTCGGGTCAAACGAGAGAGTGGAGCGGCTATCTTGGAAAAGTTCGGAACGAACCGTCGGTAGTAGCCTGCGAGGCCGAGGAAACTTCGGATTTCTCCGACATTACGAGGGATTGACCAATTACAAACGGCTTCAATTTTGCTTGGATCAACGGCTATGCCTTCCTTGGAAATTACGTGACCAAGAAAGTGGACTTGTCTTAACCAAAACTCACATTTGGAAAACTTCGCATAGAGTTGGTTCTCTCGGAGGGCTTGGAGCACCATTTCCAAATGATTCCGATGTTCTTCATCATTCTAAAATTTCTGTTATTGCGACTAATATCCATAAAACGTCGCAAATATATAAATATTTTTATTTAATATTTTACTGATTTTTATTTTAATTGTTATTTGACCTGTAATAATAATAATTCCAATATAATTAAATACACAAAAATATTAAACAATCCAAACCGTTCTTCCAAAACATAAAATCGTCGAAACATTCCAAAACACATATCATCAAACACAAAATCATCCAAAAATTCTATCAAAACACAAGATAATGCAAATAACAACTCAAATCATCCAAACATGAAATAAAAGTACCCAAAACCAATGTTGTAGAGGAAACTAGTTGTCGTCGCCGGGTGGATTCTGGGGATGGAACTCGACACCTTGAGCCCTAAAATATTCGACCATGGCTTTCATAGTACTCTGCATTTGATTCATCTCGTCCTTTAAAGTCTGATTGTCTTCTTTCAAAGCCGCTATTTCTTCATCTCTAGCAACAGAAGATAAGTTGGACCTCGCCCCTTTCTTTGAACTTGAGCAACCAAGTCCTAGTCTTTTAGTTTTTCCTAGTACTCGTTCGCAAGCAATCGTGTTAGCGGTGCTTTCATCACTCCCATCATTCATACATTCTTGATAGACTCTGTCCAAATCCGCCTGAGTAATATAAAAAAGTGTATTAACACTAATTACTTGATACAAAGTATAAAATAAAATAATAATTCAAATAAAAATATACCAACTAATTTGCTCAACCCAAACATTTTCAAGTAAACAAAAACACAATAATTCATATATAAAGATCGACCAACTACATTAAACAACCAATATATATAAATACACCAACTACATTGGTCAACCCAAAGATGTTCAAGTAAACAAAAACACAATAATTCATACATAAAGATCGACCAACTACATTAAACAACCAACATATATAAATATACCAACTACATTGCTCAACCCAAAGATGTTCAAGTAAACAAAAACACAAGATTTCATATATAAAGATCGACCAACTACATTAAACAACCAATATATGCTCAATTAGGAAATAAAATAACAATTCAACAAAAATAAGCATCAACTTCATTAGAGAACCCAATAGACACAATTGCTCAATTCACGTAAAGATCCACCAACTACATTACACAATTCATCGATACCTAAGTACGAAATAAATCCATAATCCATCAACTACAATACAACCCAAACATGTTCAAAATAGCAAATAAAACATCGATACAGCTAAAATATTAACTTACCGCAATGGCACGTAGTTCGGGTTTTTTTTCTTGGTTGAAAGGACGAAGCTTTATTATGATCTTATATGTGTTCATGTGTTTTTCCCAATTACCTGGAAATTATATGTTTGTGTGTGTGTGTGTAAATTGAATTTATTTTCAGTTGACATTCACTCCATATATATTTCTGAATTTGGTCCCTTTTGGAGATAATTAATAACCATGCTCCTTTAAGTATTCCCTATCGATCTGAAATTCACTTCATTTTAAGATCTTTCCAACGAAAGGGAAAATTAATTAGCTCCTATGAAACATTTAACCTTCTAGTTATTATGCTATAAACCTGCATAAAACAGCTGTATTGTATTAGTCTGCAGTGATTGTGGCGTAAACAAGTAGTAGTAGTCATAGTACATTATGCTATCATTTCATCCCTTAAATCATTCCTCTTGCTAATGCATTGCCATCACCTTGCCCGTTTCTTCAAGCAGACAAAAGCCACTTTTTAGCATATTACTGTTTTTATTTCTAGATTTTGTTGCTAGTATTAAAGAAAAATATATTATATTGCAGGAGTTACGTATACGAAGAAGGGAAGATTCATACACGAGATGGGCTTGGAATTAAGATTGCAACCACCACAAAGAGTTCAAAGTCGAGATTTTCTTCAATTCCGCCGGAAGTGCAAATGGAAATGAATTCAATGAAAGAGCAAATGCAACTTAAAGATGAAAAAATGGAAAGATTGGAAGCGGAATTGAAAGAAACCCGAGAAATTGTGAACACCTTGGTCAGCCGTTTTGGACTACAAGCCTCGACATCAACTCCTTCCAATGATGGTGGAGTATAAAAAGGGATGAACTTTGTTTGGTTTTTGAATTAAAGTTCGAAACACTACATTATATGCTTTTAAGTTTTTATGTACTTTTTTAATTTATGTTTTGTGCAACCTTGATATTTAATCCTTATAATTGGTTTTAATATTTTTGATATAAGTGTTTTTTTTTGTACAGATGCTGAATACTGGTTGAATTTGTTAATTGAAAAAAATAAATAAACCAGAATTTATTATATATATAAAAAAAAAAAAAAAAAAAACTTGCGACTAAAATACAAAATAGTCGCAAACAGAAACTGTAGTAACTAGCGACGAATAAATAAAACAAATCGTCGCAAATAACTCGTGGGTCTTGCGACGAAAACGGCTATTAGTCGCAAATATTTTCGAAACGTAGCGACGAAATTGTCACAAAACGTCGCTTAATCTAGCGACGAACATATAATTCGTCGCAAAAGGTTGCGACTTATTATTTGTTCGTCGCAACTGGGAAGCGACGAAAGTATAGGATCAGTCGCGAACATTAAAAAAACATTTTTTTTCAGAAAATACGAATCTTGCGACGATTTAAGCAATTCGTCGCCAAACATTGCGACGCAAATGTCTTTTCGTCGCAGACCTTGCGACGGGGCGTTTGGCGACGTTTTCTGTAGGATTTGGCGACGAAAAAAATTCGTCGCAAACAGTAAAAAATCGTCGCCAAATATACATTTTCGTCGCCAAATTTCGTCGCCAGTCGACCATTTTGGCTTAGTGTCTACTTGTCCCTCACCATCACCCCCACCAATCTCACTATCACTACCATCAACAGGTAAAGGCTCCGATTCCTTTAATGCATCGATGCTCATGTAGCCTTTTCTGAATTTAGCTGCCACGGTAGAAACCTTGCCAAATTTCTGAACCTGTATAAATAATATAAAAGTAATTACACCCTTATAAGAAATCTTACAGTATATACAATCACACGTATACAAGATCACTTACATGTTTGTGAGACCAACCGGTGATACTAGTTCGACCCCAATGGTGTTCGGTTGCAATTGACTTTCGTGCCTCGCGACATTTTTGAGATTTGGACTAATAATAATAACACATAAGTTACTATATTTTGATGCAATGCACAAATCATATAATGATATTAAGTAATAAGAATTACAAATTTACCTTCCCATCACTCTTGGACTCGTTCATAGCAATAAATTGATCGCACAATTGACCCCATAAATCATCACTAACAAAGCCTTCCGGACGAGTTTGTCTTGCAGTTTCGGGATCGGGCATGCGATCAAAATGTGCCTTTAAAACCCTAGACTTGAAGTCCTTCCAACGAGCATTTGCAGTCTTGTTGAACCACTTCTTTGTAGCATCATTATCGGGAAGATTATATTTATCCTAAGAAAAATAAAAATAACATTAGGTAATTTGAAACAATAATTTTGTCGATTGTTATACAAGAATTTTAATACCATTTACCTTGAACCGTGCCCAAAATTGATCCACACGTCCATCCTTTTTGTGTGTGGGCCATGAAATACACGGATTAAAGAGGTCACAATGTGTAACCTGTTTAGCAATATCATTCACCAATTCTGTCCTCCCGAGCTCAACCGGAATACCCTTATCATCAAACTCCATAATAGTAGCCCTGCCCTTACCTTTCTCCGACATTGCAAACACCTAGATCACCTGAAAAGGAAATAATATCTACATTAATTAAAGATGCATAAAAATAAATTAAAAAGAAAATAAGATCTACATTAATTAAATATGCATATAAATGAATTAAATTCAAAATTAATTAAACATGCATAAATATAAATAAAAAATACCCATCAATAACATCTATAGTATCTACGCCACTATTTATCGGAAGTATATCATAACACTCTTGTTCCAGTTCAGCACTAGGATCATCTGGTTTTAAAGCAAAATTGTCCCTTGGTTTAATTACAATAGGGACCACCCATGGCTTATCACGTGGATCCTCGACGTAGAATGCTTGCAATACTTGAGATGGCATAACAAAAGGACTTGCTTTGGCATCTGGCCTAGTTAAATTAACTAGTGTAAAACCTAGATTGTCTGTCTTGTTTGTGCAATTATTAGCCCAGTCACACTCGAAGAGAACTATTTTCTTGGTATCTAGGTCGAACGAAAGTTCAATGATATCCTTGATTACTCCATAGTAACCTAAATCGTCCTCTCTCGGAGATTTATCCTTAGCACTTGCAAATCTAGTCGTCTTCGCGTTGACAAAAACACCACTGTTTTGAGTAGAATTAGACTCTTCCGACGTTTTAGTGCGAAAAGTGAACCCTTGCACATCAAATATTTTAAAAGTCTTCACTCTAAAACTGGGAGACTGAGCTAAGGCTCTGATATTTTCATCTAGTCCAACTTTGCCATGAACCTGTTTGGTTAGTTACCATCTTCAGGTTATTATCTCAAAAAGAAAATTATAAAGTATACAAAGTATTCAATCTAATACAAAGTATACTTACATAGGATTGGAACCAAGGGCGAAATTCTTTGTCTTGCAACTTTTGAATACGCCAATGATAAGCATGGTCAGTTGTTGGAATCTTATCCTTAATAGTCTCAAGATGCTCCCCAGAAAGTATATGGTTTTTTTTATAAATAGGCCACTGAGTTATAAAAATAAAATAAAAAATTTCCAACAATAAAAAGAACTTACTCAATGTACGGTTGAATTTCGTCACAGTTGAAAAGACAATAATTGTGTGCCTTCTCCATTTCATCATAACTGAGAAACCTATACTTAGGTCGTACTTCATTATCATTTGCCACTTCAGAAAATATTGAAAATGCACATTTCTCCTCATCACCAACATTCGGGGAGAATGTTTCCATGTATAGCGAGCAAAAATTTAAGCATTCATCAGTTACGTAGCACTCAGCAATTGAACCCTCGGGACATTTTTCGTTTCGAACAAACGACTTTAAGTGACCCAAATATCTGAAGTTACAAAAGTTATTCGATAAATACAATGTTATTAATTTAAATTATTGCACATTTGACATTATTTAAAAAAAAATTACCTCTCTATCGGATACATCCATCGATAATGCACTGGTCCGACAACCATAACTTCATGAGCAAGATGAACCGGCAAATGCATCATAACAACAAAGAAAGCCGGAGGAAAAAACTTCTCCAAGTCGCATAGTATTTTTACAATATCAGAGTGCAGCTTTTGGAAGTCATCAAACTTGCTGGTTTTGGAACACAATCCTCGAAAAAAATTACACAATCGGATAATGGCGGAAGCCATCTTTGTCGGTAACCCCACATTGCGAACCGCTAAGGAAAGCAATTGTTGCATTAAAACATGATAGTCATGACTCTTCAACCCCCCTATTTTATCTTCATTAACGCAACGGGCTATATTTGACGCATAACCATTAGGGACCTTAATGCTTGCTATAACATCACACACAATTTTCTTAGATTGAGCAGACATCTTGTCATATTTCCCCAATTTAGGAACTAAATTGGGAAATCGTGGACCAGATTTTCCCGACGGTGGTTTTTTTATTTTTTCGATATCCTCTTTGGCATTGTCGAAACCATCTCTTTTGTTAAGAATATTTAACAGCCACTTAAGTAACAACTCACCAATATTTTTCTCGATGTGCATGACATCCAAATTGTGACGTATCAGATTATCCTTACAATAAGGCAATTCAAAGAAAATACTTCTCTTCCGCCATTGAGAATCTTTATGAACTGCTTGACCTGCCCCAAATATAACATTGATTCCATCTGTCTGTGATAAAACCTCGTCGCCCGAAGGTGGAGGTGGTGCCCCTTCCTCGGGAAAACGACTGTGGCCCATAAAACACTGTTTGTTCGATTTGTACAGCCGCTCAGATACTGTATTTTCACCACAACTCGGGCAAGCAAGATAGCCACTTGTGCTCCACCCTGATAAGTTACCAAATGTTGGAAAATCATTGATAGTCCACAAAATGGCCGCTCGCATATTGAAGTACTGCTTGGTGGATGCATCAAAGGTTCTAATTCCAGTAACCCACAACTCTTTCAGCTCCTCTATCAGTGGCTGCAAATAAACATCGATGCCATTTTTCGGTCCTTTAGGACCAGAAATAAGCAAAGACATCATCATAAAAGAACATTGCATGCACATATTTGGTGGTAAGTTGTAAGTCATTAGAATAACCGGCCACGTGCTATACTTACTACTCAATGATCCAAATGGATTGAATCCATCTGTAGCCAAGCCGAGCCTTACATTTCGGGGGTCTGAAGCAAATGAATCATGCTTCTTATCAAATTCTTTCCACCCATCAGAATCGGCAGGGTGCCTTAAACAACCATCGTTACACCGAGACTCAGCATGCCATCTCATATAAATTGATGTTTTCTCGCATATGAACAAACGTCTGAGTCTAGGAATTAACGGGAAGTGTCGGAAAACTTTCTTAGGTACTCTTTTGCGATGAGAGGTTGAACAACTTGGTTCATTTTCTGTGGGACTCTTCCATCTTGAAGCATTACACACTTTGCATTTGTCCAAGTCTTTGTCATTCTTCCAGAACAACATACAATCATTCTCACATGCATCAATTTTGACATAACCGCATCCCAACTTCCCGATAAGCTTTTTAACTTCATAGAAAGAATCGGGAATATTTAGGGAAGGAATCTTTTTCATAAGTTGGAGGGTTTCTGAAAATGTCTTATCGCTCATTTTACCCCGAGATTTGATTTTGTAAAAGTCCATCATGAAGGAAAGTTTAGAATTATGTGTGCAACCTTCATATAAGGGGATACACCACTCTTCAATGAGTTTGCGGAGATCATCACTTTCTGAGCTGGACTCTTCACCTAGGGAATGTTGAGCAGGATTGAGACATGCTTGCAATAATTCATCCATTGTGGGATTAATATCGGCACTCATGTCATCGTCTTCATTCACATGTACAACACCAAACCCCCCTGCTTCACTAGCTTCTTCGGGTACTTCGCAAAGATCCCGACGGTACTCTTCATCAGACTCCAAATGCATTACCCATTGTCCTTCGCCATAGGATTTATCCCAGCCCCTCCAAAGTAAATGACCATGAACGAATTCATGATCCCCGACTTTTCGACATTTGCAGTCTCTACATGGACATCTTGTTTTGTCATCAATAGCCGCCTTATCGAAAGCAAAGTTGAGAAATTCTAAACAACCATTTTGAAATGCGTCTAATCGATGATCATCTAGCAAAACCCAACTCCTATCCTTCGGCATTTTTATTTAGAAAATATTCGCAACTGAGGAACATAGAAGGTAACGAGAGAGTTAAATTTATATATTCGTCACTGATATGGATTTACCATTATATTAACCATTTCCATTAAAATCACTGCTTAGTATCATCATCATCAACAATTAATAAACAAAATTCTAAATTAACTCAGAATTTAGAAAGAAAGAGATCTTAGATCAGATGTGATGTTTAGGGGAATAATCTGTACATAATTTAACAAAGCACATATATATAAAATAATTTAACAAAGATTTTATATACATAAAATAATTTAACTTACCCTCTACTACTTCGTGTAGTGGCTTGTTCAAATCCTTGGGATTTATGAAGTCTGTGATTCCAATTGCTTTACCTATTAAAACAAAATTTCAAAATTTATTGATTATTAATTACTCCAAGTGGATGAATATACTATAGTACAATAAATTAAATGGCGAGTTTATTTATTTATTAATTTAATTTGATACCTTAAATAATTTTATCGGGATTAATGTCAACTCCAATAATTCTTGATGCTATCAACCGCCATCTACTTCAGAGATACCTACTGAAACAAGTGCCGTCCCCGATTCCTCTTATTGGAGAATCTATATCACAGCTGGCACTAGAGAATACTGGCTCTTATTCCCCGTAGTCTGTCTAAAAGTATAGGTCACGGCTTGCCCAGGGGATATAGCTATTGAGGTAAGATCTCAGACGAAGGAATGAAATATAAAATATGTCCTCTCGTTCTTGCCCCTTCAACCACCTTCACATTACTTCAATCAAATTGCAGCTGTCAACATTATTTCGATTTTTTTTTTTTTTTTTTTAAAGAAATAATTTTTCTTTTGTTTTCTAATAATAATAATTCATGAATCATTGATAATAAAATATATAAAAATATATAAAATATAATTATGCAGAATAAATAAAAAACTTACGGCAATCCCACGGCTCCGACGGCGGGAGCGGCAGCGGCGGTGTGAAACGGGGAGGAGAAGCGGGAGAGGAAGGCGTCGGTGGTGGCTCGGCACGATGGGGGTGGATTTCTGTGGAGAAAATTGAAGCGGCGGCGGCGGCGGTGTGGAAGACGGAGGAGGAGCTGAGATAGAGGGATTTTGGCGGCGGCTATCTCGTTGACCTTGTGCCGCGACACCGACGGCGACGGGGAGACGGCGGACTGATTTGCTTCGGCGGAGGAGGGGTGTGGGACTGTGGGAGCAGCTGTGATTTGGGAAGAGAGACTTGGGCAAACGTGTTCTGAAATTAGGGTGGGGAAAGAGGTTTTAATTTAGTTTCGCGACGTTTATACTTATTAGTCGCAGGACCGAAAATTTCCTTGCGACGTTTTCCTACATTTTCGTCGCCACTACAAACTTATGGAAATAAAATAGCGACTTTAATTAATTAAACGTCGCAACAGAAAAATTGTGAAAAAAAAAAACCAATTATATTGCGACGTTTCAGTCCATTGCACTATTTACGTCGCAAAAAAAAATTCAGAAATTTTTAATTGGAAAACCATTGCGATGCAATAATATATAAACGTCGCAACTCTTCCAATCACCTTGCGGCGTTTCATAATTATCGTCGCCAATATTATTAATTAAAAAAAATAAAAGATATTTTTTCCTCTTGCGACGACTATTTATAGTAACGTCGCAACATTGCGACGGATATAACTGATTCGTCGCCGGAACTTTTCGTTTAAAATGTTGCGACGATTTCTGCGACGTAATTTAAGAGTGTCGCAATATTTACTCATTTTTTATAATTTTGTATTTAAATTATTCATTATTGCGACGATATGTTAATAAAACGTCGCAATATGAGCGACGTTTTCAATATCGTCGCAAAAAAAACGTCGCCTGAAATGAAATTTGGCCTAGTGAAAAGTTCGGAACGAACCGTCGGTAGTAGCCTGCGAGGCCGAGGAAACTTCGGATTTCTCCGACATTACGAGGGATTGACCAATTACAAACGGCTTCAATTTTGCTTGGATCAACGGCTATGCCTTCCTTGGAAATTACGTGACCAAGAAAGTGGACTTGTCTTAACCAAAACTCACATTTGGAAAACTTCGCATAGAGTTGGTTCTCTCGGAGGGCTTGGAGCACTATTTCCAAATGATTCCGATGTTCTTCATCATTTCTTGAATACACCAAGATATCGTCGATGAATACGATCACAAATTGATCGAGATATTTGCGGAAGATTCGATTCATGAGATCCATGAAAGCGGCGGGGGCGTTGGTTAGACCAGACGACATCACTACAAATTCGTAATGGCCGTAACGAGTCCGAAACGCGGTTTTCGGAATATCTTCCTTCTTGATCTTCAATTGATGATATCCGGAACGGAGGTCGATTTTGGAATAGACCGTGGAGCCTTGAAGTTGATCAAAAAGGTCGTCAATTCGTGGCTTATTCTAAAAACATTGCCAATTAAGGGTAAAATGGTCACATTCCTATGTTTAAGGGGTCTCCCTAATTAAGATCAAAATTTGGGCTTTTGACTAGGGCGGAAAAATTCTTTGGACCTCCTCATATATATTTTCAAAACTAGGGGGTTATCACTCATTTGCCCTAGATTTTTTGTATAAACACATTTCGCAAATTATCTGTTATGAACACTTATCCTGTTAATTTTTTTAATACTTGACCGCATGATACTTTCTGAAATCCTTAAGGAACTCACAAATCACAATATGCCAATTCTTGAAAACGTTACAACAACGTGAAAATAAAAAGTAGTAATAGCAAATTCAACTAATTTATATAATAATACTAATCGAAAGAGAGTGCTATCATTTTCGATTTTTGAAATTGGCGCTACAGTATTATTGGTTGAAATATTTTTGCATATATTAAAGTATTATACTTTGATAATTTATTGATATGTAAAACTATTCTCTGCATGATATAAGAATATAATAGATAATACTGATTTATTGTGTTCCAATCTTGGAACCGGATCGAACCGGTTCGACCGGGAACCGGTATAAGTATGGGTCAATAAATCTTCATCAAATGATCGTAAGAAAACTATAGGGAGAATTAAGAAAAAACCCCTGGAGTAAGATCTAATTACAAAAACCCCCCTCCGACCAGGGGTTGACCGTTTAAATTGACAATAAATGAGTTTTATCTGTGGTACCCTTTTGTTATTGGAAAAAAAGGGTAAATTGTGACGATCCCCTAAAGTACGATCCAATTATGAAAATTCCTCCATATTTGTTTAGTTACCAAAATCCCCATGAGGTATGTAGTCTTCTTACATAGACCCCCTACCATGTTACTTTTGACCAAAAAAAATTATATTGAGAATTATCCTAATATCCCTGAAAGAAAGAAGTAAAAGCAATTAATAATTTATTTAATATTTTCATTTTTCATTTCATTTGTTTAAAATTAAAATTTTATTAAAAAATATGAAAATATTTGTAACCTAAAATAAGAAATATGATTTTTTTTTTTCGAAATACGTAAAATTAATTTTATTGAATAAACAATTGTTCCATATTTATCTATTTGTTCGCCTAAATGGCCAATCTAATACATTACAGTTAAGCCTCTTTTAGTCTTTCTCTACAAATAAGGCAGGTTCTCGGGTTGCAGATTATATGAGCTTATTGCATTGACTACCCTTGTGAAAATCGCAACTGTGCATTTTTCCCATGTCATAAAAAAATTATTGAATGACCCGGCCCCCCCGCACCGATAGTATTTATTTATTAGTCATATTGTCTGCAGCACTAGAAGATGCCTCTTGTCGATTAATCCGCATTTTTCCAGCCACACGAATTGTTCGACAAAATAGTCAGCTCCTCGCCGTCATAGGCGACGGCGGGGTGGAGGAAATTCTGGTGAAAGTGGGAGGTGAAATGGAAGGCGGCAACAAGGTGAAGTTAGCGGTGGTGGACGGGTGTCTGCGGGGAGAAGAGCAAAGGAGACATGCATGTTGTGGAAGGAAAGTGATGATGCCAATTACTTAGATCACCTGGGTAGTATAGAAAACGAGCTAGGAGAGCAAAGCAGATCAATAGCTTAACAACTTGATGATCCTGAGGTCCCTGCGAAATAAACACACGTGAACTAAGCCGGGGGTTGATCCGGCGCAAATCCCTCCGACGCTCAAGTCAGATGTACTGATCGTGGAGTTGGTAGAGAGAATATGCACTCTAGAATACTTGTAAATCATAGAACGTACCTTAACAAATGAGTAAAAACCTCTATTTATATGTGTTGATTGGGTTGGGTTTACCTTATTGGGATCAAGCCTTATTTTGAAGGTGCTAGGGCTTTCGTATAGTGGGCCCAATTGCTAGACAAATATAGGGGGCCCATTGGATCGACCCAATTAGGTATATCATTAAGCCCCCAACTCTCGAGTCGAGATGGGAGACTTGTCGAGGGGGTTCCGGATCGCATCGAGAGTCCTGTTACAGTGGGAATAATAAATTCCAATCCTTGAGAAAAATTAATATGGGTGAGTATTTTTAACTTTGGGTCTTCTTCTGTGCTCTTCTTCATTTATTGTATTGCGGTAGATTAGAAATTTTTATTTCTTGACTGTTTCTTCGGAGAAAAATATTTATCATGTCGAATCCGGGTAAGTTGAAATCTTTGCGAATTAAAATTCGAGATCCGGTTGAAGGGGGTGAGAAAACTTTTGGTACGGTGGGTATCGAACACGAGAAAGTAGTAGTATCGGGTGCGGGAATCGAGTCCGCGGTAGCTAGTGCATGAATTGAGAAGAAAAGAGGGATGGTAGGAGGTTCGGCTGCGGGCGTTGTCTCGAGCCACACAGCCAGCCGCCAAGTGATGAGTTAGGGTGCGTGCCTCGAGGGAGGCTTGGAGCCGAGGGAAGCCATGGAGCCGTCGGCTTGCGTCAGATATGAGGAGAGAGAGAGAGAAGCAACAGTGCACGTAGCCCAATGGGAGAGGGTTGCGCGCGCGCGTCGGGCACGGTGGCCGAGGTACGCGCGCCTCGGGCGTG